AACAAAATCGTAAAATTTTGGATTTTTTTGAAAACGATTGGATATAAATCTTATAAATTCAAAAGATCAATCAAGTTCAATACTAAATATTAAATTTAAGAAGATAATACGCCTCCCTTTCCCATGTGATATTTTATGATTTTTTGTCAAACCTCCCCCTACTTTCCCTAAAAACCTTACGTGATTAATGGACGCTTCCTTGATTATGTATACTGGTGCACCTTGTCTTAAGACAACATACTACTTATACAACTATTTTTTTTAATATTGTATGAACTTTTAATTAGTCGTTCCTAATTAAGTATCGGACAATTAAATTAGTATTTCACCCGCCATTCGATATGAGCGTTGACTCAATCCATATCGCATCGCTTCCAGGAACCCAATGAGAGTCGGAGTTCTCCGAGCCATCGTTGGAGAAGCTCGATTTAAGCCGGCAGTCGAATTTCTTGCCGGCGACCGTTGATTTTGTCAGTGGTCGAAGTTCATTGAGTGCTGTTCGTTGTGCATCTGATACAAATCAATTAACTGGAGCCGGCTGAGGAGACATATTAAAGGTAAGTGAAATATTTAATAATTTCTTTTAATTTTTTTAATATATATATATATATATATGTATATATATTAATTTTTATAATTGTTAATTTTTTATAATTTTGATGTTGAGATATGTGAGATTCAGTCTTCAGGACAATACATCAATTAACAACTTGTATGACTTAAAACATTTTTGTTTCCATACGTTTCGACACATAGTTTTATGTCATCCTCAGTGGACTCTAGTTTAAAAACACAGATTAAAACTATTAATTAAAACTAATTTATAAAAAGTGGTATGGTGTAAAAACTTACATGTAATTGTAGTAATCCTAATATTTCATAATGATAATTGTTCACAAATGCACAAATTGATGTATTGCCCTGAAGACTGAATCTCATATATATATTATATATATATATATGAGTTCTTTGTTTGATGTATCGCCTTCAAGAACTCACTCATATATATATATATATATATATATATATATATATATATACTAGATGACCCGACAGACGTTGTCCTGTACCCATGTCAAAATCTAAGTTCCAATTTAATATCCTATCCTATACTTTTTAATATTCTATTCAATGCCCTTCCATTTATGTAGCATAAGCTATACGATATACGTATTGGAAACTGCAGTTTTTTATCAGTATAAGAAATGCAGAAAGAATAAACATAGTATCTACAGTACAAGAACAATATCACCTTTGTTATATAATTGCTTCAATAATTTATATGATATATATGTAATATTCTATAATTTTTATAATCGCGTACCCTATATTAGTAGCTTTTTGGCAATCACAATTTCTAAATTACATTTTTCTTACTAATAATTTAATAAATATTATTTTTTTAAAGTTTATCATTTTATTGTAAATGCTCTTACACAAATCTGTGTAGTTGTTATATATTGTTGATCTTTTTTTTAATTAAATTTATTTATTTATATATACATTATTTTTATATCTCAGTCAGACAGAGGTGCCTGATATGAGAGATTATGAAAAACAGTTTTCATATTTTATATATACATTTCATTTGACTATTTCATTAATATAATATCTATTATAATTAAAATATCTGTATATATAACTCTTCAGTCTTCTTTGACTTCAATTCCTTATAGTATTTCTTTATTTTTCTTTTAAATTTATCGTCATCATTGGTCATCTTAATATCGTTTGGCAATTTGTTATATATTTTGCTGGCACTCCATATGACATTTTCTCTCAATTACTTATTACTTCAGCTTAAATCTTAGGTGAATTAATTTGTAAAATTTAGTTCATAAGGCACTGTTCAATCTAAAATCATAACGTAAAACAAAAATGAATTTTTGACACATGAAACACAATTCTAAATCATTTTTTGAATAAGTAGAAATATTATTTTGTATTTAAATAATTTAGTAAAGCAAAATACAACATGCATAAGTTTAAGAAAATTAGGTTTATCAATTTTGGACGTATTGTGTTATTTATTAATCTAATTTATATAATTTCATCTGCCAGAACATATATGATATCTTAAATTGTTTTAATTTCTGGCACATCTCAGTTGGTTTTCGGCAATAATATTGTAGACATTACATTTTTCTTATTTATAATCATAAATGTGTATATTATATACTAATATTGTCTAGTATAAACGTTACTAAATTTACATTTCAAGTGAATTGACATTTTTGGCAGATGACAGTTCTCATGTATCAGAATATTTTCAATGTCAAAAAATTATAAGCGGTTTTTTGTATTTTTTTCATTTATTTCTACAATTTAACTATATTTCTATAATTCAAACAATCCTAAAAAAAATCCCTTAAAAAACTTCAAAAAGATTTATCAAAATCCGAATAATCGTTTAGGAGGAGTATCCTTACATCATATCGTATCATTACATTATATATATATATATATATATATATATATATATGTCACGTTTATCGACTTGTCAGTCATATGTGTCTGACGCTCTAAAGTTCTTCATAAGCCTTGTCACACATATATGTCTGACAAATAGACCTAAAAATTTCTTGGCTTGTCGCAAAAAAGTTTTAATATAGGCCCATGTTTTCAGTATAATAATACTGTTTTTTCCAGGAATTTTGGCAAAAAAATCATTAATACCTTAAATTTTCTTGATACGATACATTGCCCTTTAACTATATTATCAAATAAAGTTACAATATCCCCTAGTGATTTTTTTTCTGATATCGTGGCGATTAACACACGTTAAAAAACTAACTTCTTTTCTTGTATTAATAATTACTATATTTTATAATAGTTCAATGGTAAATTTCAGTATATTATGTTAATTATTCTTAGTTCGAATTTACGAGTTTATTCTATAAAATTTACATATTTTTTATCCAAAGATTTCGAAGTTTGGCTTGGTCAACTCTTCGCGAAATCAAGTTTTCGGTATGCAAATAATATAACCGTTACGGATAATCATTATTCTCGTTTCTTCTCAGACAGATTTATAGCAAATTTATAAGAAGTATGAATTAGATTCCGAAGAAAAATCAAACTACATACAAATTTCTGTTATGAAATAGAAAAGTATTACAGGCGTTCAATATAATTTTTATTTAAGTTCGAATATTTTTTTATAATTTTTGAGTTGATTTGTTTGTTATATTAGGCATTTCTGATATTTTTAATATAGTTAATAGATGTACACTTTTGTAACTTTTCTACACTCGTTGCTTAATAAGTGCTTGATATAATTTATTATTATTAATTAAAATTAAAATAAATTGAAATCTTCATCAAACTCTTTTATATGCTTACATATATTATAAAATAACAAATTCCAAGTGCAAGGATGTAGTGCAAAATTTAACCCTGACATTCGCAGATTATAATTGCGAATTATAATTTACCTAATTATTATACAAATGTTTTTTAACTCATTTCATACAAATATCTATTCATCAAAATATAAATTTATTACAATTGTTTAATATATTTTTTATAATAGCTGATTTGTTTATACATTTGCTCGTGCAATTGATTAATTAAGTATATTTGATATTATACAAAAATACACTCTTGTAACTTTTCTGCATTTGCTGCTTGCTAAGTATTAGATATAGTTCTTTGAAAATAATTAAAATTTAAATAAATTAATATTTTTATTGAAGTAGGTTTTTATCTTATCACGTATATTATATATAACACTTTTCAAGTAAGTAAAGCTCAAAATTTTAGAGATTATAAATAAGATTCAAAATAAATATTAAATTTATTGCATGTGATGCCTAAATACTTTTTACTTCATAAAAATATTTATTCGTTGAAATACAAACATATTACAGTTGGTTAATATATTTTTTGTATTAGTTGTTTTGTTAACTTCTTGATATAATTTATTCAAACTAATGGCATCGCGTCTTAAGGCAAATTTCTGGAACTTCCCTTACCGCAATTCAAAATTTTTGATCCATAAAGTCGAAAATATAGCGGACATTTGTTTTAACTATATTTTTGAACTTTAAACTTTATTAATTTTGGTAAGGAATCCAAAGAATTAGAAACAAAATTTGTACTTATTAAAATCTCTATAAAATATTTGATAATTTGTTGTGCATATATCTAGTGATTATTTTTGACTTGAACTAATCAACAGATCTCCCCATCAGTAGGAATCCAATATTTTTTAAATCACTCAAATCGGTAGATCCGTACTCTCAAAATCGTCGATGAAGACTTGTATCCGCACATACATACGCACACACTTATATTTGATATTTTCTGAAGGTGATCCAAAATGTTTCGAAACGTTTGAAACGTATTGATTTGCAAAAAAATTTGTTTTCGATTTTTTTGTGATTACTATAACTTACCATACGGGAAGTTAATAATTAAAATTATAATAAATTGAAATCTTCATCAACAACTTTTGTAGTTTTTGTTATTTTTTTCAAAACATTTTTTTAACATATATTAACTGCAAGTAATAAATAAGTAGTATATGTAAAGCTCTGGTATTTTTTTATTAAATCAATATACATACATTTAATACCTAAAATATATGCAAAGCAATATCTGACTTGCTTGTTCCTCATCAATAATTTTTTCATTTTTATATATATATATATATATATATATATAATCAATACGATCTCAAGAAAATAATTTTTTTGCCGAAATTCCTAGAAAAACACTATTTTTTATATCTCACATATATGACTGACATGACCTTATATTAAAACTTTTTTAATGAATTGAATCTCAATTTTCAATTTAATTTTATGAATTGAAATTCAATTTTCAATTAATGTTCATGAATTGAATTTCAATTCAATGCACTTAAATTTATTAATCAATTATCAATATTTATAATTCGGCCGATTGTTCGATATCGATGGTCCACAATAGAAGAGAGAACAATAACGTAATATTTATAAAATATTTAAGAGTATAATTAGGATTGTAATTTTCCATTATATAATAGTTTAAAAATACCGTTGCACAAACATCCTCAGAATAATGATGCAATCTGATAAATATTTCTGACTCTCAAAATGTAAACATTTTAGTTGACCATTACCATTGTGTTGGAGTTATCTTTAAATAAATATGTTACGCGACATAATCAATACTCTATCAATTGCGTATCTGAGGCAATCATTTGGGTGACGTACGAATTCAAGATTCGCGGTTGCAAGTTCAAATTGGATGATTTATTGACGGAATAACATTTGTTGCACACACTGTAACTTATTTCAAATCACACTAGATGTTTTATTTATTCATAATATTTTAACTTATAAAAACCATTTTCTAGGTGGGATATGGGATTTGACCAAAAAGTCAGGAAGTATCACAAGGGGAAGGGGGATCTAGTAAGATATCACGTGTATTTATTTTTTACCTAAAATTAAAAAAAAATCTAAAATGTTTCAAAAATTTTACGATTGTTTGCAAGTACTTAAAATACAATCAAATCATACTAGATGTTTTATTTATTTAAAATATTTATTTAAACTTGTAAAAGTCTGTCTTCTAGGAGGGAAGGGATTTGACCAAAAATCAGGAAATATCACAAAGGGAAGGGAGGCCTAGTAAGATATCACGTGTGTTTATTTTTTACCTAAATTTAAAAAAAAATGCAAAATTTTAGAAGTACTAAAAAGACACGTGACGTTAGGTGAGGATGGGCGGTTTAATTTTAAATATCACCACAGACAGGGATTCAAAAACTTATAAAAATCGATCATATGATTAATGGATATAATTAATGGCTTCTAAGTACTCTTGAATTATGAAAATCAAAATTTGTGTTAATAAAACACTCACTAAAAATTAAGGTATACCAAAAATTATAATTAAAAATACATCGAGCTTTATTTGTTTTACGAGCTTCGAGTCTTTTACTTCAAAAAAATTAAATCAAAAATAATACTTGAGGAAAACTTTATCGAAAGCAATCGAAACTAACAAGAAGACCCTCAGGTTTACTCTTCTGGGATTTTGATTAAACTTCCCATGGTGATAGAGTTGATAGCCGAAACGAATTCTTCAAAATATTGTAGGTCTATGAGAAGTGGTTTAATTATGAAAATTAATGCAAGTTTTTAAAAATCAGTTGTAGAATACTATAAACTCTTGATACTTGATACTCCTTAACTACGCGACTTGTTAGAAGGCAACAAAATAGCTGCCTTTTTATTTTTTGCGGTGATTTTTTTTATTAGAAGGCAACCTATTGGTTCTATAATCTCTTGATACTTTTCTTCAACTATATGACTTGGTTATCCTTTCTGTTTGTGGTGGTTTATTACATGTTATGATTTTTTTCGACAAGTCAGTGGTTGTCTTTTTGCTAATATAGCTATGATATATTTTAACTTATTGCAGCAATACCGAAAAGGTACATTGTAACTTGAAAACATATTCTGATCTTTATTTTCCTTTTTGTGCAGAGAATATTATTAGATCACTAATTGTGCTCTTTTGTTTTAGTTATACAATTACTATGAAGTTCAAAAAATGTGAAAGCCTTAATGAAATTATTAAATTTAACACGTTGATCGCCATGTTAATCATATGTATCTGATACTAATATGTTCTCCAGGAACCATATCAGATATACGCGATTTTGTAGAAGACCACTTGTCGAGAAAAAAAGTTTTAATATAGGGACACGGCAGGTATATATGTGTGACATAAAAAATAGTGTTTTTTCAGAAATTTTGGCAAAACCTAATTTTCTTTGATACATTAAGTTTCCTTGATAAATTCTAACTAAATTATCTGATTTAAGTTATCATGGGAAATTTTGCTGATATTATCGTGGCGATTAACGTGTTAACATTTTCAAATTATTCCAAATTAATAAGGTAGTTCAATTATGGAGAGTGAAATTCAAATGAACTTGTATTACGTATTAGATAAATACAATAATTTTATCACAAATTATAGATTAGTAGTGTTTACTTCGTTATCACGAAATTTATACAATCAAAACTTTAGATTTTTATTTTGCATACTGTACTGTTATTAATATAGTATTGTTACAATATTAAACATACATTTAAAAATAGTTTTTTTTTTTAAATTTATGTTGGCACAGTTTTGCTCTATATTTCATATGACAATTTGAAAGATTTTTTTAACATATGATTTTTTTTTTATTAAATTTAGTCGTAATTTTTTTTAACAAAATAAATTAATTCTATTAATTCAATCAGATGAAAAATAGTGATCTGAATGGTACACGGCAGCGAGTGAGGGCTATAGTTGAAACTACAGGAAGATATCAAGTTATCCTATGCATTTTGTTAAGTATTCACAGTGCAATAGTTGCATTCAACCACACAGAACCAGCTTTTCTCAATTACGAGCCAGCTTTTCGGTGCAAGGTAATTTTTATTGAATATTCAAGGAACCAAGTACCAACTGTTGTTTATTAAAAACTTTGGTATGCAATTTAGGACAATGGCACGATTAAAGAATACATTGGTTGCGCGTCTTTACAAAATGGTACGTGCCACACAGGTTTCGAATTTGCCGAAGATGAAAGAACCATCATCACTGACGTAAGTAAAAGATAATAGACACATTTTAATGATTAATTATCCTATTTCAATAATAATATGATTATTATTTTATTCCAGTTTTCCCTGGTTTGCTCTCGAAGATACCTCGCCGCGCTTGCCACCGTTTTGTACTTCGGTGGTGTGACCATAGGAGCTTTAGTTTTTGGGCCCTTGGCAGATCGATTGGGTCGCCGAAAAGTAACCTTAATTTGCCTATACACTCAAGCTGCATTAGGAATACTTCAAGGATTGTTGGGGTCCTACGGGGGTTTTGTAATCTTCGCGGCTCTTCGCATGTTGCAAGGAGCTTTTGTTCAGGTTTGTTTGTGGATCGAAATTAGAATTAGAATTTTATTATGTGGTATTGGAGATATTAACATTAATATTAAGATTTTATTAAAAAAAGTATAAAAAATGACATATAATCTGACAATATTTGTCAACAACTAATCAGCACGATGACCAAATGATATCTTTCGAATCGGTTTTTAACTTTCAAAATCGGTTTAAAATTTTTGGACAAACGTGGACGAAATAATTAGCTTTTCTGCAAATTTCAAAGAAACGATTTTCCCGATCATCTAGCAAACATAATCAAGGTTTCTCCATATCAAGTTACATCGAATGGCTTTTACAATTTTGTAATCGGTGCAGCCGTTTTTGAGAAAACGTCGATAAAAAATTGAACTAGTGAGGTCCATGGCATCATGCCTTGAGGCAAATTGCTGGAACTTTCTGTACCATAATTAAAAATCTTGGTACGGAACCCAAAAAAATTTACACAAAATGTGTACACATCATTAAAATCTCTATAAAATATCTGATAATTTGATGTACACATGTCCAATAAACATTTTTGACCGCCAAATGACATTGTTTTTAACTTATTTTTATTGAAAGTCCATAACCGCTGGACTTGCCTTCCCAAAAATTTAATCTGTTCTTCATCTTGTCAATACAGGTGATTTTTGAATTATTCAAATCGGACGCTCCGTTCTCTTAAAAACTGAGTTATAGTTTTTGGCACTTTTTGTCTCGTATCTTCGGAACGGCTAGACCTGCCTTCGCCAAGAACTAATCAGCACGTCTCCTTATCCATACGAATCGAATGTTTTTTTAATTATTCAAATCGGTTGATCGGTGTTCCCGAAATCATCGACGAAAATTTGTATCCGCACACACACATCCATTTTTTCTAAGGTATGCCAAATTGTTCAAAAAACGTAAAGATATATAAAAATATTCATTTTCGATTTTTTTGCGATTACTATAACTTGTCATATGGGAAGTTAAAAATCGGCTCACACACATATACATTTTCCAAATATGGTTTCAATTGTTTCAGAATGACTTGAAGCGTCGAGAAAGCATAAAATAAGCTAGTAGGAAGTTAATAATATGATACTGTTTGAATATTGATAATATAATATTTCGGATTTTAGAATGATTAATGTCTTGAAATTCTTCTGACGATCAGAAATCTTTGAAATATCCACTACAAGAATTTAGAAAATAGCAAAAAATAAAAAACGAGGAAGGAACTATTGAAGAAAATTTGCTTTATTCGTAAGATTGGAATTAGCAGCATATTGAGAATTAACGCATAACCTCCAAAAGATTAGGATTTTAAAGACTTGACGCTGTAGAATTTACTATGATTTTTATGAAATATTCGTATATACAGTAAATTGTAATCCTTGAGCTAATTTGCGATGACTATCCAATTATTTTTTTAGGGTCTGCAAAGTTCGACGTTCACTTTGCTATTGGAGCTCTTTCCTGTGCGCCATCGAACAGCAGTGGCCGTAATTTGGGAAATATTTTGGGCTGGAGGTTGTGCCTTTATGGCATCCGTTGCATGGATTCTAGCAGATTGGCGTTATTTGCAAATTGTTCTCGCATTACCAGCGATAGTTAGTGTAATATACAGTTGGTAAGCAATCACCAACGTTACTGTAATCTTTTCTCCTACTTCTAGTTCTAACCACTAATTTAACTACATGTTCTATCAGGAATATACCAGAATCCGCACTATGGTTAACAACGATTGGGAAATACAGATCTGCTCATCAAGTCTGCGATAGAATAATGAGGTATTTTTGTAACAGAATGCGTGTTTATCTGAAATATCGAATTACCGTACATTTTATTATTTAGATTTAATGGAACGAAGCAAGACATGAATCGTAATGGCACAACATGCCAATCAGAGCAATTAGTAGAGAATGTTGTTTCCGATCCGGTCATTGAAAAAATTGGATTAATTGGCATCTTCAAAAATTCATTATTGCGAAAGCATGCGCTGGTTATGACTATGGTTTGGTAAATATAATTTTTATATTATCTTTTTATTCATTTATGACAATCTATACTAAAATTTCAATAAACAGGTTCAGTGTAACTTTATGCTACTATGGAACCGTATTTTATCTTCCAAAATTGGATGGACAACGACACGTAAATTTCCTCATAGGGGCTTTCATAGAAGTCGTGGCATATTTACTCGCTTTTTGGGCTCTTTCCAAATTTGGTAGACGATGGCCCACTGCCTTATATCAGATATTGTGCGGAGCTATCTGCGCCACAGTCGCAGGGATCACGTTTTATACGGGTCATCATCAAGGTAGGCGTAAGACACTTTCTGTAATTTAACAATATGGATTTATATAATTATTTAAATCATTTCAGGGATGTTGATAATTGGTCTGATTTTGGCTGGTAAAGGAATTGCAGTGTCATGTTTTTGTTGTATGTTCCTTTATACAAGTGAACTGTTTCCAACAAGCGTGCGCGGAGCAGCTCTTGGCTTATGTGGTTTTTGGTCGCGAATTGGAGGATTACTTTCTCCTTTGCTGCTTGTTTTGGTTGGTATAAAGTTCTATTTTTGAAACCAATACAAGGAACCACATTTTTATTATTATTTGTTATATTTTAAAATAATTTTGTTCCTAATTTATCCCTTTTTCAGGGCGAGATCACCGATCGATCAGTGCCTTTAATGTGTTTGGGCGCGTTGGCCCTTGTGACAGGTTTCATCTCTTTGGCTTTGCCAGATACAAATAATACAACTTTACCTGACACAATTGCCGAAGCACAAACTGCATATAATAAATCTTATCCGAAGTCGCAGGAAAATACACATGTGTGACTTCTAAAAATCAAGAAGTAGGCTACTGCCATAAAGTTTAGAATTTAGGTATAAATATTAAGCAAGAAATTAGTATTAAAGAGGTAGGATACTAAGCTATTTTTATGATAATACTTTGGGTATATGAAAATATTCAAAGACTAAATGAATTTTTGTACTTAAGTACGTGATATTTGTATCGGATTGTATATTCGACAAGAAAGAACATCAGCGTGTAAAAGACCAAAGTGAAGATAAAATGTGCGCTGATATTTTAATACGCGTCGATTTATCAAAACGCATTTATTATATTATCTATTAAGTTTTACGGAACTATGAAATTGCGATTCAGTATTAAAAATTAATATAAAATACCTATCCATCTAAAACATTTATTTTACTACAAGGCTGATTTTATTAAGCATATCATATACGTAATTTATTATTTTGATAATGCGATTTTAAGGGTTAGGTTGTTGCATAATTTGTACTAATATATTTTCCCATGATAGAGGAAAGGGAATGTTTATAAAAATAAACAGTTCGTAGAGAGAGTGATTTATTATGCGGAGGAATTAATGTGAACGAATTTGTTCAACGTGATTTTCAAATATCATATATTTTGTTCATAATATAGTTAACACTATTACTATAATTAATAAGATGTATTTTAGGCCATTAATGAAACATGAAATATATTTTTTGAATATTTATCTATATACCACATTCCAGTAAAATAAATTAGTTTTGTACTATCTATGATCTGATGAAAGATATTTTATCAATTAACTTGTTAGCTCAAAAATCATTTTATATTTATAATGAAATTAATTATAGTCTTATTATGAAATATAACATTTATAATTGATTTCGTTGTTGATTTGATTCTATAAAGTAAAAATTTAAAAAAAGACCAGAATATCTTAGAAAAACATATGTAAGAAGTTCAGGTGTTGCGATAATCTAATTTGCTAATTTAACGTTTCAAGTCATTCTGAATCGAATGAGACCAAATTTGAAAAAGTATGCGTGAGTGTGTATGTGAGCCGATTTTTATCTTTCGTCGTTTTCTCGAAAACGAGTGGATCAATTTAAAAAATGGAAAAACCATTCGATGTCGCTCGATAACGACTACGATTGTAAAATTTTTAGTCTACATTTTAGCCTACAATTTTGAATCGATTTTAAAAGTTCAGAAACTGTTAGAAAGATATTGATTGGGAATCGCGTTGATTAGTGTTTGGTAAAGATCGGCTGGGCCGTTTCTTCGTAATTCAATGTTGAAATAATTTGTTGACGATTTTCTTAAACTTGAATAACCATATATTTTATAGTATGAAATAACATAATAAAATATTACAGGCCCACGATAAGCGATTGAATTATGAAAATTAATCAAAGTTTTGAATTTCGCAGCAAGCTTGAGCGATTCTAATCAGAATCTATACCGAATCATATGTGTGGTGTTTTGTAGGAAACTACTGATTGTAGTTAACATTCACTCTTGAATAAAATACATTTGAAATAAGTTAATTTAATATATACCATTGAACTGAAAATTTTAGTATACCTCAGAAAAAATGGATGTATGTGTGTGTTTTGTGTGTCCGAATTTTTTCGTTCACGTTTTCGAGCGCACGGATCAACCTATTTGAATGGTTTCAAAAACATTCGATTCCTATTGATAGGAAGATGTGCTGATTAGTTTTTGGCAAAGGCAGGTCCAGCCGTTACGGAGATACGGAGCAAAGAGTGCAGAAAATACAAGTCGAGTTTTTGAGAGAACGGAGTATCCGATGTGAATGATCTAAAAAACATTCAATTTGCAATGATTGGGAGAAGTGGTGATTAGGTTTTGGCAAATACACGTCGAGCCATTTTGAAGATACCAAGCTAAATGTACAAAAAATTACAGTTTTTGAGAGAAATAAGCAACCGATTTGCATAATTCAAAAAACTTTCTGCTTGTGTTGACGAAACAATTACTTTTGAAAAAAAAAATATAAATTTTAATTTTTTTTCAAGATTTTTTTTTGTGTATCAAAAATAATTTAGATTTCAATTTTAATTCTGGTTAAAGTTCTTAAGCTCACTCATATATTTTAAGTGAACAATTTTAATTTTGTAATTCAGTTTATATAATTCTTATAAATATTAGACGATATTACAGAGTTTATAATAATCTATTTGAAAACATTTAATATTCCTCGAACATTTTGTTACGGTACGGGAAGTTCCAGCAATTTGCCTTAAGGCACGATGCCATACACCACTAGTTTCAGTATTGAATTAAAACTAAAATTAACTGTTACTAATAAATTAAGTTTTCTATAGAGAGGTAATCCTAGTGCTTAAAGTGACCATTTCGGATCAACCTCTCTAATGGTTGCGCAAACCTGGGCAGCCCTCAGTGCACGTGTTAAATTCGTCTCACATTTGTTAACTTCCCGTAGGTTATAGTAATAAGATGTTATAGTTATAGTAATCGAAAATGAAAATTTTTGCATTTCTCGACGTTTCAAAGGTTTCTGAATATTTTGGCATACCTTAGAAAAAATGGATGTATGTGTGTGTGTGTGTGTGTGTGTGTGCGTGCGTGTATGTATGTGTGTGCGGATACAAATTTTCGTCGACGATTTCGGGAACACGGATGAAGCAATTTGAATAATTCAAAAAACATTCGATTCTTATTGATAAGGAGACGTGCTGATTAGTTTTTGGCGGAGGCAGGTCTAGCCGTTCCGAAGATATGGGGCAAAAAGTGCCAAAAACGGTACCTCAGTTTTTAAGAGAACGGAGCGTTCGATTTTAATAATTCAAAAAACATTTTACTTGTATTGACAAGGTGAAGAACCGATCAAATTTTCATGAAGGCAGGTCTAGTGGTTTCGGAGATCTAAAGAAAAAAGTAAAAAAAATGCCATTTGGCGGTCAAAAATGATCATTAGACATATGCACATCAAATTATCAGATATTTTATAGAGATTTTAACAATAAATATAATTTTGGTTTACATTCCTATGGGTTCCGTACCAATGTTTACGCGTTAGACGTCGACGCGGCGCTTACGCGGTTTGATATTTCGTCTTTATGCAGTACGATTGCTTTGAAAAAAAGTTTAGATCTTTCAAAATATGTCAAAATAAAGAAAACATTTTTTTTCAAAAAAAAAAAAAATTTAAAAAAAAAAATTAAATTTTTTTTTTTTTTTTTTTTAAAGTAATTTTTTGTCTAATTGTTTGTCAAAAATCTTATTTTTTGGAAGTAAATTTTTTTCAAAAAATGTTAATCGTTTTTAAAAAAATAATAATTTTTGGTACGGGAAGTTCCAGCAATTTGCCTTAAGGCACGATGCCTTAATTGCCTTAAGACAGAATTCCACTTACAGCTAGTTTTGTTATGATTTCGTTTGTGTTCGGGCCTTCGCACTCGCACCTCGCACCCAGAGCAACCGTAAGCGTGCGTTAGCCGACGTAGCTCGGGATGAGCTCCCCGCACGGCTGCGCCCTCTGCGGTTACAGAGACATCTCTCTCGTGTCGAATTCACTAGCGAGAGATTTGTAGCGAATTAATCATGGCCGTCAAATAACCATTAATTCTTGGCTGGAGATAAATTTGATTGACTGAAAAGAATGCTAGATGTTTTTACGTTTAAGTCGTCTTATCAAACATAACACATCCACTCTTATTTAGTTCTACAAGTGTTCTTTTCCATACGAAAACGACTGAACTAGTCATGCATTTTACATACGTGCTTGTGATACGACAGAACATTTTCGACGATGCCAATTTTTAAATATTTGTGACTTAAAATCATCGATTCTGTATTAGGCTTAATAGATGAAGACATAACCGACAGTGCGATACGTGTTGGTTTAATGAAGAATGGTGTAAATGTGATTTTTAATTCAACAAAAAACTCTCAAGTGATTTGCTTTGTGTCATCGGGAAACAAAGGGTTTTGAGCTGTCTGTCGTCGCACAGGTTCATTATTTTTAACATGTCTCAGTGTGTTTACATGTCATTTTTCTGTTGAAATGTGTCGTCAGTTCCATGTTTTCTAATCAAGTCAATGTGATGGTGAAATGTGCAAAAAATCTTTCACCTCCGCTAGCGATTGCTAGTGCTCCATGGGGCGATGTATCATCAATCGAGTGATGTTGTCTGTCGCGATAAGCCGACGTCGGGCTTGTCTTCTGGCAATACTGTTACGAAATTATATTCTTATTACGCCACTGAAACATTGCCGAAATTGAAGAAAACGGCCAAGAAACAGAGCCCCCCTATGAATAGCTCGGCGAACAGCGGCGCTGCGAGCAGCACGCCCGCTCTGCCCATTACAACGGGGAGCAGCGAGGCTGGCAGCTCCCAGAGCAACAGTCAGGAGAAGCCCAAGACCACTGTGGCAGCCCCTGAACAAGTCATGCTGTTGTATATGAGCAAGCTCACTCCTTACGAGCACCACGAGATATTCTCTTACCCACAAATTTATTTCATTGGGGCGAATGCTAAGAAAAGAGCAGGCAGACCTGGTGTCAGTCTATCTGAATTCGACAATGAACAAGGATCTTATATTCATATCCCGCATGATCATGTTGCTTACCGGTATGAAGTACTCAAAGTCATCGGAAAGGTAGCTTTGGCCAGGTTGTTAAAGCTTACGATCATAAAACCCATGAGCATGTTGCTTTAAAAATGGTTCGAAATGAAAAGCGATTTCACAGGCAAGCCCAGGAAGAAATTCGCATTCTTCAGCATCTGAGGAAACAAGATAAAGATAACACTATGAACATTATCCATATGTTTGATTTTTTTACTTTCCGAAACCATATGTGCATAACATTTGAGCTCCTTTCTATTAATTTGTATGAACTGATAAAGAAGAATAAATTTCAAGGTTTTAGCTTGCAGCTGGTGCGAAAATTTTCTCATTCGTTACTGCAATGCTTAGATGCCCTGCACAATAATAAAATAATACATTGTGATATGAAGCCAGAAAATGTTCTCTTGAAGCAACAAGGCCGATCTGGTATAAAGGTGAATATTTTTAATTGAATCAAACTTGTAATAAACAAAAATTTAACTTAAGGGGGTCTTCCTATGTGACGGCCTGTTTTTTAGGGATATTTTAGGATTTTTTTTCTACGACCAGTAAATATTTAGAGCTTCAAGTTTTTTATCATTTATTAACACATATTTGGACAGTATAAATATAACATTTCAGCTAAAAATATTCAGTCAAACTAGAGTTACAGCGCTCTGAACACCCCCGCCTCGAAAAAAAGAGCTCCCACTTCCTCCACGATTCCGGCTGATCGGCTTATCTGAAAAAAAAAATAAACGGCGTTTTAATTTGTAGGCTTAAAAGCACGGAATGACCTATAATCAAATGAGTATAAAAATAATTGATTTTTGATAGACATTTGAAATAGAAGTTGCAAATTAGGCGTTTTTTTTTTTGTTTTTTGCTATAAAAAAATCGAAGTTTTAAAAAATTTTTCATTCATTCCATGCGTTTAAATATATTGAGTGTGCCCTGTAAATTTCAAGTAATTCGGTCCAGCCGTTTCTGAGATACAATGGAGGAAAGTTTGAAATACAGTTTTGAGAAAAACGTTTAAAGTTCTAACTGCCAACTTAGCGCTCCGAACCACTCTTTCTTTTACCTGCTGTATCTTTAAAACGACTTCGAATTTTCTAAAATCGCTTTACTACCGTATTCTAGACATGTTAAGGGAGCAATTTATGAAAAAAAAATAGATTTTTTCAACCCATCACATAGGAAGACCCCCTTAAGTTAGGTTACTTAAATCACATGAATAATTTAACTTTCATTATTATATCTAATGGTCTCATTATTTCCAGGTGATTGATTTTGGATCTTCTTGCTATGAACACCAGAGAGTATATA